AAAAGTAATTACAAACACACCAAAAAAAGTACTTACAGAACACTAGAAGATCAAATCAATTGAAAGCAAAACAAACCAAGTTCTTAAAAAATGTGAAGAATGTAGTCTTAATCATATAAGAGAACTAAAAAGTTGTAAAAAATAGAGTTACAGAAAAGAAGTTCAAGGTTTATTATCAAGATTTATCAGAAAAGATGAAGACCCACTATTTATAATAGACAAAGAAATAATACATAACTGGTAACAAAAAAACAGAACTAAAATAAATAAGTCAGAAGCATAGTTCAAAAATATAATATATTATGATTTGGATACAGAATTAATCAAAAAATAGCAATTAAGCAAAGAGATAAAAGAACTTCTTATTTCTAAGAACCAAAAAAACCAATTAAATTCAGATAAAGAACTTATTTTCTATATAGACAGTTTACTCAAGAAGCAACAACAAACAATGCTTCAGATATCGATCATATGAAAGCAGTCTGGATACAAGTTGATGCAGAAGAAAGAAAAGTAATTGATGAAGGTGCTATAGGTGCCTAAAATTAGCTCTCATCAACAAAATTAGAACTGCTAGCAATCTGGTTAGTAACCTTAATAATACTAAAAAAAAGAAAAATTAAGATCTATACAGATAGTGCAGTAGCAATATCAGGTCTTAAAAAAGGAAAAAAGCTAAAAAGAAGCAAACAATAGATCAAAAAAAAGAACTATGACTTGAAAAAAAATATAATAGAGTTACTCAAATTAAAAGAGATAGAATTAGAATTAGTTAAAGTTAAAGGACATAGTGATAACAAATAGAATACTAGAGTAGATAAAATAGCAAAAAAAGGAAGTAGTATAGAAAATAGAGATATGATTATAGTAATGCCATCACTCAGTTCAAATATATCACTCTGTTGAAAAGAAACAATTGTAAAAGGGCCAACAAGACAATTTGTCAAAGATATCTTAAATTTTAAGGTTGATTCAGAATGGTAATTTACATCAACTGTACAAAAATTAGAACCAAATAAAAAAAAAGAAGAGCATAACTAGTCACTATTATGAAAAAAAGATAGAAGTCAAAGCAGAGTCAGATGTACAAGTATAATAAAGAATAGAGAAATCGCAACACTAATCAAATATGTTAATGAAAAACTACTAGTACTGAAAACTTTAGTGAAAAGATGTTCAAATATATATAAAAAGTCATATTGCATTCTATATAATAAAGACTAAGAAAAAGACCAAGAATACTTAGCTATTTGTAAAGATCATAAAAAAGGTTGAACCATTACAGAAAACTCAGCTATCAAGTTGGCTTGGTTAGTACTCTTGAAAGAAACTCAAAAGAAAACAAACAAATTAAAACTAATAAAAATCTTATAAAGAAACTTAGCAGAAAGAAAAAAAGAATATAGATCCAAAAGCATAAAAAAGCTAATTTAAGAAAAAGCCAAAATAACAATACAAAGCCTTATCCAAACTTTCAAAGAAGCTAAAGAGTTTATAACAATATAGACAAATACAACATAAAATGGTTTCTTTGAAAATATGTAAAAAAAAATACTATGAAGCAGTTACTGACTAGAAAAAAGCAAACAGAATTAGTTCTGCAAACAAAAAAAAAAAAAAAAAAGCATTTCAAGAAGTGATATAGTAAGAAATCTGATAAAAGAAGTAGATGAAAGAGTTTTAAAGAAAAATTAAGGCCAAACTGTAAAAGAAAAAAAAAGAAAAAAAAAGAAAAAATACAAAGTTTTTGGTTAATAAGACCATTCTTTTATGGTTCTAACAGCTAGTTTGATATAACCTTCTGATTAGATTAACATTTGGCCAGTGTGGCAGACTGCTTCTAGGCATTCATAGAAACAGTTGGGAAATGTTAAGTCAGAATTAAGCTAACTTTGTACTAAATTATATATATAAGACTCTTAATAAAGGTAATTGGCAAGGCTGTCAAAGATGAAAAAAAAAAATATGATTGATATTTTTTAATTATAAATAAAAATCAATTGTATAATAAAATTAAAAATAGGGGTGTGGCAACCTAGTGAAGTGGTCAGGTTGTCAACCCTCTAAGTAGTAGGTTGGGTGTTCAAATTTTATCGATAACAAAAATTTAGATAATTACCTATATAATATTTGTATTATGACAACTGTTACTAATAATTGAGTTAGAATACCTGTAATGACAGTTATACTAGCATAACTGGCAGGTCATGAGGCATCTGTGCAATGTTGGAGTTATACAGAAGAATGCAAGCAGACAAATCAGATGATGCAAACACTAGATAAGTCCTTGTAATCATGTAAATCCATTGAAATTGGGTAATAAGAAATCTATTTGAAAAGACCTAAATAAAGAAATAGCTGGATCTTTGACAATCCTACTGTAAAAGCTAGTCTAGTGAAATGTATACCAAGGTCTAGTACCCAGTTGTAGTAACCAAACAGACAAGAACCTCCAGGTTGGAAGTCTCAGAAGTACCACCAACTAGGCTGCTAAAACGAACTAAAGGAAAAGGATATCAGGCCAATCCGATACCAATGGACTGGTCGTAGTTCTACATAAGCTATCTGGATTAGAAGTTTGGTAAAAAAGTAAAGGAAAAGACAAGTGTATACTAAAGTACCAGAGTTATGCTGTAAAGTAGATGCTAGGGTCTAAGTGAACTCTACAAAAGCATAGCAGTTTAATAGTTAGTTCTGATCACAAGTGTTAATTCTATTATAGTGATACCTAGGTCAGCTGTAAAAATGGGTACAAAAAGCTTTGGGTGGTTTATCTCAAGAATAAATTAGTCTTAAGGTTGAGACAATAATCTAGACATCTGGATATGACCCAGTAAGTTAACATAGGTTACAGATTTAGAAGGTTTAAAGTGAAACACCCAAGCAGAAGTGTTAGGTACAGCAATTGGTAAGAAACCTTCAGGCAGACTCCTTAAATAGGTAATATAGAAAAGGTATATGTGTAACCAATTGTACTCTCTCCTGTAGTAGTTCATTGAACCATAATACCAATAAGTGATTAATAAAAGTCAAAAGACCAAAAAGGTTAACTTAATAAAAAAAAATAAATAAATAAAATAAAATTAAAAATAATGTAAAAAAAAATTAGAAAAATTATACAAAACCAAGCATATAACAAGATTACTTGATAGTTACCTGTTACTTTTAATCAATCAAAATTATGAAATTTGATTAATTTGGATCAGTCTAAAAATCAAAACAAATGATTAAATTGAATTATTTTAAAATAAGATATATGTAAAAATGGATCCTTTTAGTTAACAATACTCCATATAGTATTGCATTATATTTTATTATATAAAGGCCTTAATGAGTTTAATTACATAATAAATAATAAGATTTACTAATAAATTTTTTGTAAAAATATACAAATACTATCAGAAATTATTTATAAAGTTATTTTTTTAATTATTATAGATAATAAGAGAAATATATAATAACAATAATAAAATGATAATTTAAAGATAATCAAATCAAGGCATTATATTGGTATCTTATTTTTTAACTTTTTAATTTTTTTTTTAGATTTTGATTGATCATCTGCTAGGAGTTTATACTATTTTAATTTTGAGTGAAAGGAATTTCAGGCATGATAAGTGACTCAACAAGAAATCAGCATTGATACTTGTATCAACTTGATTTGTCCTTTTAAAAAACAAAATTTGGAATGTTTGTATGACACAAGATAAATAAAACAAATAGTGGTGATTATAAATTATTCAAATAAAATTAAAAAATTTTTTTTATGTAAAAAAATAATTCTTTATTTTATATTCGTGTTGTGTTTAAAACGTGCAAAAATAATGCAACACGCTTTTTAAAATAAAGCTCATACCTGTGAAAAAATTGGCCTATTGATATTTTCTAAAAATTTTATTTTTAAAAACTATAGTATTTAGGAATAAAATAAAAAAAAGTTAACAGATACGCCTGGAATTGCGTGAAAAAATTCGATCTAACTAAAAAATTTTTTTTGTTGCATTATTTATGATCGCCAGTGTATTTATTGAAAGGATTGATTATTATCTTGCTCACATGAAGTTCGAACCATTTATTCAAAGAAAATAGTTATTACTTTTTAAAATTAACAAATGCATAACGATAATATTGGTATCTTATAAATCAACGATAGTGATACGTAGTAAAATATATAATAAAATTCAAGCCACAATAAATCTTGAACTAACAAACCCATACAAATAAAATTTTACTTTTCGGGTTTGTTTTAGCATACTTTTTAAAGTACGTACTTACGATGCTTTTTTTGTTTTCTTATCAAATATCTGACATTTTTTATCTTAACTGAGGAAAGTTGTGTTACACGACATGCAACAGTGCAAACAGAAATTTCATTGTTACGTGTTTGATTTTTTATTTAAAAATGCATCAAAAACGAAAGTTTTGCATAAAAATTAAGAAGAGTCTTCCGCCATATTCTAGGCAATAAAAAAAAACAGCATTATTAACTCAAAGAGCATGTTAAAACGAACTTGACGAATGTAATTTTATTTATGTGGAGTTTCTGTTATTGCAGTTCGAATTTTATGTTTTTACATTGATCTATAAAAAAAGTTTATTATGAGAATTTACTATATGACCTGCATTACTGATTGTGTACACCCCAGTACTATATAGGTCTTTGCCTTGAAAATCAAGTTATGAGACATATAATTTATTATGTAGATTTTCAAGGCAAAGCCCATATACTAGTATTTTCAAATCGCTTCTAATATGAGTTGGTAGAACACTTGATCCCACTTTATCACAAATTTTTATATAAAAGCTAAGCGTTTAAAAAATCATCTTACAAAATGTCAGATTCAGAAGCTTTAATTATAAAAAATTTCAATACCGCCACTTTAAGTTAAAATTTTCTATTATATGTAAATAATATAAAAAACTTATGTAATATGTTTTGTAAATATAAAACAAGTATCCAATCAAACCAGAGTTCTAGTATGCTATGTTTCACTAATATATTATATTGGTTTGAGTGGTGCTTCCAGGGTAAATTTTGGTGGATACATTATCTGAATTAAAGCATAGATACAGCCAACAATGAAAAAACATTCCGCTATGCTTTTCCATCTTCTGGCCAATATGATTCGATTCAAAGAAGACAGTGCATTAGCTAATGCATTTATCCCTTCTGATCCAATATCGTTATAACTAATATCCAAAGAAGTTAATATAATGTTTACGTGAAGTGCGCTTGCTAATGCTTTTGCAACTTCTAATCTAAGTTTATTACAACCAATATTCAAAGAAGTCAACGGCGTTCTTGCCAAGTGCATCTGATAATGCTTTTATCCCTTATAATCCAAGATCGTTATTATAAAGAGTCCAAATCTTTCGGGGTATTGTTCGTGTAAAGTGCATCTGCTAATGCTTCTCCTTCCTCTAATTCAATATTATTGGAATATGACCACATTCCATTGCTTTCACAAAGATTTAAAGAAGTCAGCGTAGTGTTCTTGCAAAGAAATTTTGCCAACATCTTCATCTCTTCTGATTATCCAGAAGAGCTAAAGAGTTTAGTGTTCTTATTAAGAGCATTTCCACACCCTTAAATCTGAGTTGATAAGATCTGATATTTAAAGAAGTTAAAGTATAATTCTTATAAAGAACCTTTACTAATTGATCAATTGCCATAGGGTAAAAATGAATTGAGATGACGGTATCTTTCTTACAAAGGTTCTTATTTATTAATTGATTGCAAATAAATTCGTCAATGTTTAATATTTAAGACTTCCGGTTCTTATAAGCATTGCAACCAATGAGCAACATACAGTTGTTTCCAACTCGAATCCCGTTTCATATTCTTTATGGCGAAGCAAATTTTTGACACCGTCATATAAAGAATTTGCTGACATTTTTTACGCAAGTGGCATAATTGAAGAGCGGTAGTTTTTCGTTGATTTTAAGATTAATTTTAAATGGGATCAATTGAATTCGTTCTTCAGCATTTAATGTTAAAAGGCATATGCTTATTACCCTTATATTTTCGAAGTAGTGAGCAGGTTCGCCACATAGTATCAGAATAACCATGCTCACGGATCGAAGGAAATTGAATATTGCAAGATAGCATTCTACGGGGAGTTGAATCATATTTGATATAGTTTTCAACTGCCAATGATAACAATACAATAACAAAGAACGGTGTGAGAAAAAATTGTTAGTACATAAACTAGAAAATGCGCAGTATTGTATGATTGATTCTGTTACACTAAATTACAAATTTGTACATACGAGAGGAAATTTTCTTCACAATGGATCCTCCGCTACATTCTGGATCAATAAATAATGAAATGTTACTGAAAATAGCAAAACTAAGAATGAGAGCGTCATCAATCTAAAAAATTCTTCATCATTGCATTAAGGTTAGGATTTTTTATTGGATTTTTTTGCTGAAGTGCCAACTCATTTTGATCAGTTTTCTGACCCCTGACTATTTATTTCAGATCAATTGATCTAGGTGCTTGAAACCAATTTTAGATGAAGATATACCATATGAACAACTATCTAACTAAATACTCCGAAATAGAGATGAAGATCGATCAAAATTTTTTTGATTTTCGTATGATCAATCGTTCATGTTCGATCATGCTCGCCTTTTTTTTCTTTTTTTTTTTACTTTAAAATAGAATAGTGTTCTGAACTATCGATTCTTGTCATGAGAGAACGCATCGACAAAAAATTTAGCAAACAGTAAGATTGAGTAATTGATCATTGTGTGATCGATCACCATCTCTACTTATTGTTATGAAAAATCTATTTGATTGGTTGTAGACCATCATATATAAAAATACAATTGATCATATGATAAATCGTCAATGAATCTGATTATATTTGATTAAACAAGATGGAGCGTCTTGTCATACGGCAACCTTGACAGAACATTGGCTTAAAAAACATAAGGTAAAGTTTTTTAACTGGCCTTCCAATCGCCTTATCTTAACTCGATCGAACACCTTCCTGATCAAATTTCAAGTGAGAAGGGCTTCTGAGGAAAATTCAGATGGTTTGGCAGGCAATTGATGTTGAAATTTACTTGAGGTTAATTCGTTCAATGCCAGAACGAATCCGTGATGTAGTTAGAGCCCGGGGCGGCTACACCAGATGGTGGCGACCGAAAATTATTAGATAGAAATTTTTTTTCATTTTACGGTCGTGTTGCTATTAAAACGAGCAAAAATAATGCAACACGTCAATTGAAATATAGCTCGTGCCCAGGAAAATTTTGATCATAAAGTTTTTTATTAATGAAAATGTTACTATTTGCGAATAAAATAAAAAAAAACTAACGGATACACCTGGAATTGCGTAAGATAATACAATCTAACTAATTTTTATTTTTTGTTGCATTACTTAATTAGACTTTTTTTTGCGAAACAATATAATATTTTTGAAATCAAAAACCAGCAAAACTAGCAGCAACAATTATTAAGGATTAAAGATAGTTGAAAAGTTTTCGAGATCAAACGCAGTTGAGGGTGTGCCTGTATCACTCTCCATACCACGGTATATTTACGCGTATCTGATCAACCCATGCTCCAATGGCATTGCCATTTGGAAATGTAAATACGATATCATTATAGCTTGTTGCTCCATTTGTCGTAAGATTTGTGATAATCGCAGCCTTATTTTGGCCGGCAATGCCATTTCGAAAACCTGGAGCAGTGAGAACATCAATGAAACCTGCTTCATTCCACTCAAATACAAGAGTGGGCATATGCTGATCTTTCTTTAGAGCTTTGAGGACCAAAGTAGCTGTTTTATGATTTTGAAGCACGGGAGGGAGTTTATCAAACGTTAAACATGAGGATATTAATCAATATATATGGGCATGGAAATAATTTAACTGCTAATTTTTTACAGACCTGTGTCACTTTTTTTTTAAGAGGTTTGACATATCTACGGACCAGATTATTATAAAGTTTATTTGTGATTTCGTGATTTAAAGAGCCCACTATTACTGTATTGCTCATTACCTAAGTACATGTGACATTAGTAGCTCACCTATAAAAAATTTCCTGTCTCGTGATTTTTAGTCAATTATATCGAAGGATCAGGTGTAACGTAAAATCAAAACAATCGAATTAAGCCAAAGTAATAAGCATCATATTTAGGGTTGGTATTAAGGATGAGAAAAGACATAGCTTATACTAAAATTTTACGAGGAATTTTTTTTATTAGAACGCAGAAGACAGTTTCATAGATAAATTTCCGATTTTTTAAAAAGACGTGATTTTACGTTACACCTGCTCCTTCGATCTAATTGGATGGAATCACGTGCCGGGACATTTTTTGTGGGGGTTTATTGATGTCTTTAAGAAGTGTGACATCGATGTCACAGGAAATTTTGTCTAAACTATTATCATCGTTAACTATTAGAGAATATATTCCATCCACTATGTCTTACAATATATATGTGAATGGTGATTGCATTCACCACAAACCCTACATCCGTGCTAAAGATGTGCCACTTTTCGATATAATTCTGTTTATCGTTCGGATTGTATTATATATTACAGAAAATACTATATGTATACGTGGTCAAAATTTACCATTTACAAACAAATTATGCATAAGCCTCGGAGCTGTAATACAGTAATGCAGTTATTTTTTGGAGAGTATAGTTTAATTTGATGTGTAACATATGGGGGTGCCTACAGCAAAAGGTGGCTTTGGGCCAGCCAATCAGATTTTGAGATTTTATATAATATCTAATTAACTGATA